CCTGCTTGGGCAACCGATCATCTGCCATCCTTCGCACATGTCCATACCAGACCAACTGCTTGGACCTGATATCGTGCACGATGTCCTTTTCCACACCCATTATCTCGCGTACCCTTTCATTGCGGATACGCTCTCTTCTCGATATCCCAGCAGACCTTCGCCAAAAGTCCATCTCGGTTGCCCTAAGCATGTCTTCAGTTCTTTTCTTAAGTTGCCAGACCTCACTCCCGTAAGTTACGATACTCTTCACGATGACGTTGTAAATTTTCCTTTTGGTCTCCTTGGAGATACTCTGGTCCCAGAGAACCCCATTTAGCATCGCGATAGCTTTCCTGCCTTGCACATTCCGATCTTTTCATTGTTGACTTGTCATTGTTTTCAAAAATCTTTTCTTCTGTTATTTGCGTAAGATTATGAAAAAAAGCAATTAAGGTAGACGCTACGTTATCATGAGCCTTTCTGTATCTTCCTTTTTGTTTCCCTCTGCGTGGCTAGACTTATTTATATTTGATTCGATATTGAAAAAGCGTGGCCAGAACAGTAAGATATAGAAATCGAAACATTGCCCAAAGAGTAACTTTAAATTTTTTTTTACGTGTGATATGGCTAGGAAAAAATTACATCTGTAATTCGAATATTTTTCATACATGCGTCTGTTGTCTTTAAACTAAGATAACTTTTACATCATAGGCAATGTTTTAAAACATTTTCTATGATGTAAAAGCATGCAGAGTGTTGGAGGGGGGGGGGGAGCGTACCATTCTTTTAATCTTCCTCTCCATGTACCGATATTTTACGGGTTATCGTTGAATAAAAAGAAGTCCCTTGTGAAGTGAGATTTTCCCGTTGACCTACGTTAAAATTTTGCTTAATTTTAAAAAATTAAAATAACTTTGGATCCACTTCAACCTTAGTTACCTGGTTTCATGGATCCATCCAGACCCATTGCTCCAGCAGATTGACCTATGTCCTTCATGGAAAAACTCCTTGCAGGGCATCTAATTCTTACTCCTGAATTTTCAAAGTGCTGAATCGAGTCTAAGCTTTCTGGAGCTATATTTTCTGCCCTTGCCTAGAAAGAAATATAACTCTATCATACTTTAATCGTCATTTTTGTAACTAAGTGCGTGAAAACGGTTGCTAATGTCTAAGGAGATAGGTCAATGGCGTCACCTAGATTTTGGGAAGGTACCAGCCGTCCTCGTATGATGAGCCACTAACCCGAGCAGTGTGGTATACCTACCCAAAATCTAAGTAATGATATTCTGATCTATCTAATGAGGCGTGAGACTCTTTTTTCCATGCAAGTGTTTTCTAAGCAAAAACATATCGACGGTGAAAATCGACAACCACGTATCTCGTTTGCGGTGTTTCAAAATATTCGCTATTTTATTTTTTTAAAATTGAACAAATTGACATCACGTATAAAAATTTTCGTGGAATTTTCTTCACGGAGAGAAAAACATCATTGCAGAAAGTATTGCCGGTTTAGTCTTCAATTTAAAAAATAAATGATGACAAGAAGTCTGAAACATTGCAAACCGAGATACGCAGTTGCCAACTTCCACCGTCGATATTGTGTTTTTTAGCCTCAAAATTTCATGTCCAATATTTCCTTTTATTTGTGGTAGAAAGTGTGCATATTTTATGTTCATGCACGATATTCTCGATGCCTCCTGTATACAAATATTTTAGGAGGAACTGTCCCCAAAAAGGAATATCGGCTTACACGTAGTATAATCGAGGAGCTATCATAACATATTTTTGAAAATCTTTACTTTAATTCTGTTTCTTCAAATGTGCAAAACGCAAATGCAGAACTTTTAAAAATAATGATTTACTTACAAAATGGACGAGTAAAAAGCGTGACAATATTATATATGTTACATCCGAAGGCTGCATGTTTCGGCATCCACTCCTTTCATAGGTCGTTCCACTTCACTCGCTTTTTTCGACATTGGCTTAAAAAAAGCTCTGGCAGCTTATTTTAAGGTTATACTGATGCTTTCTTTGTTCATAAACTACTTTTTAATGTTTAAATTATACAACGAGGAAATTGAAATAAGAAGCTAAGCAGCTTTGAATGTAAGGTTTAAGTAAATGAAAGCATACTAGTTCGTTCCAAAACGCTTCTGTTGATCACAAGCAGATAACAGAGGCATATGTGCCGGATTGTAAATGTAAATGTCTATTCCAGAAAAATAAATTCAAATTGAACTGATTTCACCCCAAAACTATTTAGGACACGGCAGTCTTGTCATCGTGGTAGCCATGTCTAGAGTGGGATTTTATATTTGCAAAATATACACCTCAAACAAAAGGAAGTCTTCAGATTTTTTACATAATTCAAAACAGTCTCTGAAGCAAAATATATCTCAATAAAAGGCATACATAACTACTATTAATACAGCCGGTCAGTTGTTTTTATTTGTTAATGTTTCAATTAAAAATGCAGTGTGTGTTTAAACATGACATTTAATTTCGAATTTTATTGTATTTTTTTATCATTGAGTATCAAATATACATTCGGTATATCTCAAGGCAAAACAAATACAAAAAGAAAGTTTGAACGTACACTTAGAAAAATACAAAAACAAAGAAATATGTTAAGGAATTAAACAATAAAGCTATTTACTCTCTTTTACACTAAGAATAATACTTCGGGGTGACACAAATGGAAAAGGAGTAAATAAAAAAAGGTCGATGTTCGAAATATTTAAGAATATTAAAGGTTTCATTCAATTGAGACTTACTAGAGATGTTATGTGATCAATTATATTATTTGTGCAATTGTACATGTAGGTGATCTGAGTATCTTACTAATGTGTAAGACCTGCCTAAAACGAGTTTATCCCAACATTCTCGTCCATTGCCACGCTTTCTTCAAAACTTTCCACGGTCTTTTGTCATTTCCTTCAATTTTGGACTTTCGAATAGTACATGAATATTCATTAACTGCATTTTCATCCGTATTATTGTACGTCAACGCTGACCATAAAACATATGGCGTGAAGTCAAGTCGTCCGATAACAAAATCAACTTCTCCCGTGAATCCTACCCTCAAATTATCTAAAAACGATGTAATTTCATCCATCATAATTTCTCTGGATGCTATTTTTGCCCCTCGGTCATATGCAACTGTTATCACAATGCCGGTCTTTCTACCTAACATAGTCCGAGAAATGAACAGAGTCGAACTTTTATGAATAGTCGGAATCACCACAAAATTACTCTTTGGGCTAATAAGGAACAGCGAGATTGGAGTAACGAGCGACCTCTGATGGCATGGCTCCTCAGCTGTCTTGCTGAACAATGCTGCAACACTGTTGACGAAATTTTGTTGACTTTCTGTGCTTCGACTTAGAGCTTTAGCGGACTTAATGTAAGCCTCGGTCGTGTTGATTTCAATGTTGTAAAAACGGCTTACCCAACTGTGCATGCAATTTGCCACTCCTTGTTCTACTTCAAGATTCGGTATAGTTAGAGTGACGGCACTTGCAGTCGTGTTTCTAACAGAGAAATATCCGAAATCTAAAAGGAGCTGCATCATAAAGTCTACTACGAGTCTGGGCACTGTTGGCAACTCTCCCTCACTCATTTTGGCTTTGTTGATAAAAGCCTCTAGTTTCATATAATCCACTAATTTGGGAGCTTTTCTGTAAGGCATATCATAGGAGTAACCAGTCAACAAATCAAGTATTGCTGACGTGAGATCTGTTATTTTGAACAGATTGTCAAGAAGTGGAAAAGAGAGTTCGCTCGAATGCGGCGCTACCTGGCCTGTGCGGCAGTAACTACGGACAGCGTAAGTACAAAAGAGATTGACAGATGTGGCATTAGTCTCCTCAGCTTCACCAGAAACTTCGTGGCCACCAAAAAGCGATTTGGCTATTTTTATGTTGACACTCGGTGAGCACTGTTGTAGCAGAAACTCAGCTTCTTGTTTCGTCGAACCGAAAAAAGAGGCTACTATTGGGTTCGAGTGGAAGGAAATTTGGCGCATGTTAATTTTTTTGAAATCGAAAACACCAGCTAAAGGCAGGCTGCCCAAACAGAGAGCACGATTATTGTCTTGAAATATCCTTTTTATTAAATTCTGCAAACAGTACATTATAGCTCTCTGGTCTCTGCCGAAACTGTGAGTGGCAAGCATAGCTTGGAGAGGAGAGTCTAATCCGTCAATCAGCACCAAAGACGTCTTGTTGAAATGCATCTCCAGGGCGCATTTCGATCGCAGGACGAACTGCACAGCCTCCTGCTCATTCTGAGGAGTTGTGTGATTGCTTAATACTTGCTCCATGAAGGAGCAAGTCTCATTGGTCAGGACCTTTGAGGTCTGCAGAAAATGTGAGCTCCCAAAGGCTCTGCGAAGTGTGAGGGCGACGGATCTTAGGAAGCGGTTGAAAGTACTCGTTTCTATGTAAGTAAAATTTAATTTCAGAACTGGCCATTTTCCGAAGTTGGCCTTGAAGAATGCGGATTCCCTGAAGATTGCCAAATGAGAGCGATTGAAAAAGTAAACCTGGCTGAATAATTTGTAGTTGTCCGAGTTTTCTGTGTTGATAGGGTTTCCATCTTTGTCGATGGGTATCTCGAAGAATCGTTGGAGCATGTCTAAATTTGTGGATTTGCCAAACCGCTTTGGGGCCGTGATGTATAATGACTGATTCTGTTCTGCAAACCACTTGATGAACATCGTCTTGTCTACGAATCGGTTCGATTTGGCGAGGTCAGGAAAGTTTGAAACCGATTTTCCCTTCAAACAAAAGTATAGACATAGGACATTAGGTATGTCTAAGGTGTTGCATAAAGATACATTCAACAATGTGCAGGTCAGCTAAATCAAATTGTATTTTTGTATTTCATCATTCACGTTACAATTGTTTATCAACAAACTTGCCCTATAAAGGCTACACACTCTGTTGCTTCTGCGTTCACCACACAGCATTGGTGACGAGAAAATCCTTAGAGTATGAGTAACTAGGAACCGTTCATAAAATACTTCACACAAAAAATTGGGGTTTCAGACTCATTGTAACCTCTGTCATGCTTCAGCCACGTACATAAAATAATATTAGTCCTTCAAAACATATGTAGAGAGAATTACGTTAAAGAATGTACCAATTTTCTCTGCAGTTATGAGGAAAGAGAAAATGAGTGTACTTTTGACAACTACAGCGTGAAACTAAATCGAAATATGAAGGAAACCAGGAACTCACTTCGATTGGCACATTCATCCGGATTTTGGAGAAAGTGAGCGAGAGCATGAACACACAATAAGGTTTTGTTGTTTATCCCTTGTGATAAATGAATATCCTATCCAATAATCAAGACTTAAAAATCGTAATCATTCTTAACATTGAACAATGAATGGAACACTCTGAATTCGAAATTGGTGACCTAGTGTGAGTAAAGACATGCATTCAAGGTAGACTTACAGTGTCTTCTAGAATGTCAGCGATGATGAATGTGCTGATGATGGTGCAAGTAATAGAAAACCTCACGATGTACATATTTAACAGTCGATTTCAGTTACCATAAAGCTTTGAAATGAGACACAGGCGAGAAATACAATGAAAAAAATCACGGCGAAACAACTACTTCCACAAGTTGTTTCTCCGTGATTTTTTTCATTGTGTGCCACAAGTACGCTTTGAAGCTTTCATTTTTTCAGTATTGTATCCATAATAAAATAGATAGATGTTTAGTTCTAATTGAATAAATCTTATGAAGAACACTGATTTAAATCGCTAACAAAACATTCCGAATATTTGAGGAACGTGATAAATACGTAAGAGGATGTGAAGTCTCTGCTCCATGATATCGTTTCAATTCTCTTTCTATATTTGTTTACTATGCAAAAGCCTATTACATCATAACCAATGATGACGTCAATCGAGAGCGTCACAGTCTGGAGTTTTGTGTGATAACAGACACTCCTTATCAAAACTTAACTCTATCCATTTGCCGCAATGCTACAATAGTAGAAGATGAAATCATGTTCGTTCGAGAAAAACAACTTTTGAGTATATCAAGTAAAGAGAGGCATCATTCTACTTACGAAGGAGAACGCCACGATTAAAATTACTTGTTATATACTTTTGGAAGATAATTTCCCTCCGAAGGACTCCAATCATTTCTCAAATGCTGACTGGATCTGGATCAGTTTTTTTAGGAGTGGACGCCAGAAGAGCCGCGCGGCTTCCTGGGTCCAAAATTGAGGAAAAAAAGTCCAGAGTAACTTGAGCATGTTACGGAGGACCGTAGGCGCAAGACTGCAATCTTAAAACTAGCAAAATAACATGACCAAAAAATTGAGATTCTACAACAAAGCTGATATTGAATTTTGAAAAACATGGTTTATGGGGTCCATTATAGTCTTTACAGTCCGTGCGCCAAATACATTTTTGAACAGTACTGCAATGTATTTACCCAAAACTGCAAAGGGGATGACTGTAAAATATATGCTCGGCGATGTATTCTAGTGCATTCATCACTTTTGGACGTGAAAAGTTGAAAATGGAATAGTGTGTGGATTTTATTATATTCTGCCAGTTAAAAATAATTTAATTCCGTGACATGCCGGATGGAGCCATCCCTTCAAAGGTATAGAAAAAGAGGGTATTTGCAGTTTAATAATTCATTAGCAAAGTTGAAAGGTTGTTTTACGGGTGCTTGCGGGGAAGGAGATGAGGAAGGGTTCAAAAGTTGACTGAGGTACCTGGAAGCCCCCCAGAGTTTGAATCGGCATCGTGGTCAATATTTTGGAAATTTGGGGACACTCCATCGGGAGTAGTTTCTGTGAGCATCCCAGCAAAGCTCTAATTTGAAATGGAACGCAGTGACACCCAATCTAATTTCTTGGAGAGAGTAAAGGTCGTTCGTTTACTCCAATGTAAGCTTTCCTCCTGTAATTGGATTGTCAAATCACTTCCACTTTTGGTAACCATTTAGGTGAAATGAATTTTGAAACATATTATGTTTTGTTCTTTTCCAGTCTACGAGTTTCCGAGCTCGCTTCGAGGAGAAAAATTTAAGGTCAGCCACTTTAGCCTCAGAGTCACAGTTCGTTATTGAAACATAATGGAAAAACGGATCTTCCACCAAATTTTCGGGATTATACTATTCGCTCAAAAACACTGAATTTTTGGTGCACAATCGTGTCTGCCCTTCATTTCGGTTCTATCCGAGGTCTCACCACTAATAGACAGTGTCACATTTTTCTGCAATAAGTTTGACCTATCGTGAGGTTACTACCATCCTCCTGCCGAGGAAGGGGCTCTTTCTTCTTCTTGCAGGGGGGAGGAGACTAATAATCCGAAATTTCGGGTGACGTAAGCTTTGAACGGTGGCGAATCGATATCCATGATGCGCGGCGGTCAGCTGGGCGCGTGTTTACATAATCGTTGACTCCAGGTTGATTCGGTAGGGTTTCCCGGCATAACTTTGGTCGGCCACAGGGATCGAGTTTCCGGTGGTGGCGAGGCAATGCCCCCCGACGTTGCCGCCACGTCCAACCAAAACATTAGATTTAGCGGAAAAACTAAGAATTTTCGTCCGACATGGCCATCAACTTCACCTGGATCCCGTATTCAAAGTGTGGTCGCTAGCATTGCGTCCCTGCTGTCAACGTCACTTGCACAGTTCTTCCCGGTGTTTTTGTGCCGTGATGCGGTAGCCCAGGAGCCAGGATCAGCTGATGCAGGTACTAATGAAAAAATAATCTTTTTCCCGCCGAATTTATCGCCTTTTTTTAATTCACTGTTATGTTTCCCGAATAAATATAACGTTTAGCAAACCGATCACAATTATATGGAGACTTTTGAAAAAGACTTATGTGCAATAGTGCAGGAATGGTAACATATGCAAGACAGAGGAATATCGAAAAGCTTATTCGAAAAGGAGCAATGACCGTGAAAAGCTCGGGAAATGGGGTGTATTTGCCAAAAAGACGAATTTGCCAGTTGGCTTCATGCAACTCCACAGATACTTTGATGTTTTTAATCCCTTTGTAGATATTACCCATTTGTTTGATACCGCTTTCTCTCACAATCAGACATAATTAAGTTATACTGCCACAGCTGCAAAAGTGTCAAAAGAAACAACGCTCTATGTGCTCAATGGAAACCCAGAGGCTGTTTCAGTTTCAACTGTCTATTATGTAGACTTTCCAGAACTGTCCGAAGCCATACTCCCACATACGACTGTGTAAAATCCAAATTTTTATGCGTAACATAAAGTTTCTTTTTAAAAAGGCCCAATATAAATATGGTTGGTATTTCAAAGGAAGATGACATGAGCTTTTAAAGTCCTGAAAATGTTCAGTTATTTTGGATTCAATAGTTAAACTCTCCGAAAATTGGGAAGAAAATCACTGAAATAATTTCTAAAGCATGCGTATACGTAGCCAAATGAAATTTAGAAACGTCCTAATACTACTATACGGCGTTCTTCCTTAGAACGGCAGTACACTATACTATTAATTTTTATAAACAATGCGGAAGTTAAAAATTTTAGAAAAAAAAATATTACTTAAAAACCCTGCAGAGCAAAGAAGGAAATCAAGGATGGCTGTGCATAAAACATGCATTTTCTTTATGTTTCTTCTCCAGGCTCAAGATGACATTCCAAATATCTCAACGTTGCGGGTAAAACTATGCTGTAGTGATGAATATGAAGTAAAGCTATGAGCAATGAAGAAGTGCCTCTGTTGAGCGGTGTCGGAGGTGGTGTCGGAAAATCGAAATGTTCCTTCAAAGGCCTGTCCCTGTTTTTCGCCTCCCTGTGCGTGATCGACCTCTTCGGGGTCTTCCCGATCGTAGCCCTTCCGAGAGCGATTGTCGATTGTGGTGAGTTATAAAGCATCCCTTCTTGAAGCATCCTCAAGACGAGATTGTAAAAAGATCGTTCTGTAGAAATTTTATAAGTGCGTTGGAATTTCCGCCGTATGTGTCTATCCCATAGAGAGTATAGTTTCTGAAGGAGAGTCCAGTCTTAAGTACAATTTTTCATAAAAATATGAATTTATGTCTCAAGGGGCAGAAAATTTAGAAAAAGGGACCTGCTTATATTTATATGTAAATATGTCAGTTCGTAAATTCAAATTATGGGCTCAAAATTTAAGAAATTAATTTTTTTAAAGCATAAATATTTCCTGCATGCTTAAAAAAAGGTACCTATCTACGATGCCATTAAGACGCTGGATTTTTGTCCCATAGAGCATGCATGAGAAATAATGGTAGAAAAATTTAGATTTTTGGAAAGATTACGACCGTTTCTTCGTGGATATTATACACAAGGATAGCAAGAAAATATGTGCACTTTGCGAAAATAGTATACATTTTCCATCTATTCTTTCACTATTTTGAAAACACCCTTATAATGGATCCCTTAGCCAAAAAATAATTTAGGAAAGTAGCAAAGGCATTGAAGTCTATTCATGAATTAGTACTCAAAATGAATAATTAACATCCCATTATCCAAATATATTTTGGGGTTCTATGTTTTTCCTTTAATGCTACAACTTAATGATTTCTTACGACGGGTGCTGTCAAAAATAGCGACGAGGCACAACATCTCTTACAAGTATTTTTGTTCGCCTTCAATTGAGGAGTGCAGCAAATCGCATTTGATCAGCGTAGAGGTTACATAACCGATAATAGTCGGGCGGAAATTTGACCGCACTGAATACGATGGAGCAGATGCGATTGCTCAATTTCTTTGAACAAGTATCGAATGTCTCTTGGTGTAGCAGGGTTGTATTTTGACAAATATTTAGTAACTGTTTTACATAACTTCTTTTTAAGGTTTCAGAAATAAACTTTTGCATCGTATTTTTTCAAGCGAAGGCGATCGGTGGCTTCATAAAACTTTGAGATAAGCGTGTTATTTTTGAAACCTTTGACATACCGATATTTTCTTACGCTCTGTTAATTATTTGGCAAATCATAATTTGAATATATTGACCAAACAGTGGCCGTGGCCGATGTACATCTGGTCGAATAATTAAAATTATCACTGATTAGTGATAACAGTTAAAATTATCTCATCTTTAAAGGAGACGAATGCTAAATCAATATTAAGCATCGTCCTCCTCTTTTCTTTTCCTAGCCTTTCCTTTCGTCCCATCTATCTGCATTTTCAAACTCGCAGTTTTTATTGTTTTCCTAAATTTGAGAATAGATATATGCTTTGCAATACTGAATGGCTAGAGTATAAGTAGGTAATGTAGCTGGCATAAATCTTACGGAGAATCTTATTTTTGGCATGCTGCTTTTTGTTTTAGGTTGGCTGGGCCTTCCTCTAGCATTTACCGTATTTACTTTACAAATTTACACAGCCCTCCTCCTCGGCCGATCATGGGTCATGGCTGAGATGATCGAGCCCTCAATCGTGGAAAAGAGTAGGTAGGTTGTTTTATCATAACAGATGAGGGTGTCGTAGCAATATCTGAAAACAAGTACTCGTGGATGTCAGAGATTTCAAACGAATATTTAGATTTTCACCCATCGCAACAGGTAGAAAAATGTGTATTTTGTGCCCATATTGAGGATTATACTGGCTAACATTGGCGTTAAGAGAATGTCCTCTTCAATCAAGTGTACAAATTCTAAAATCGAGCTGAGTGTTGCCTAATATGAGCTGCTTTCTTCTTAAATAAGCATCTTTCTTCCTTGCTCAAAAAAATTTCTTCTTTATGGCAGCAAATTTTAGAACATTTTTGGTTACAGCAATGAGTAACTTCTTCCTTGTGTATAAAAAAGTGTATCCGTGTACGTCTGTACGTGTGTACACATACTGATGGTGAAACCAATTAAAAAAATAAAAACATCCTCCAATTCTAATTTTACAAGATGTGTACCATATGAAAGGGTTAATACTAATTTTGTCTTCATTAAGCTTCATCCAGTCGTGCACTGTCAGTTTTCTCAGATGGAAAGTCTGTGTGCTAATTTTTTTTATTTTTGGGGCGACTTTCAAACGATGTAATCAAATATCACGTTCGAGTAAACTGATGTTAGACTGTGTCATCATACTTATGAATTTCAGAAATTTACCCAGAAGTCCAAGCGAGCATTTGAGAATCAGATGGAAAACAAAATTCATCGAACATTCGAAGAATGATTGAAATGATGAACTCGAAGTACGAAAATACATTGATGTGAAAAAAGTTTTGTTTTTTTATATGTTCTAAAAATGATGCAAACCTACTAAACTTTTGGTACCTCTCAGGTTGTCTCTAATGCCCATTAATTTGGTGTTTATTCAGGTATCCATATGCCGCATTGGCAGAACTAACTTTCAACACACGAATGAGAAAGTTCGTCACATTCCTGCTGGATATTACGATATTTGGGGGTGGAGTCCCTAATCTCCTAGTCGGTAAGATTTTGCTCTGCACTTTTACCGTGAATCCTTATTCGAGGGTATAGAATATCACGACAAAATTTATATTTTCACATTCCTCAAAACTATATTTATATATTTAATGTGCGCGCACAGAATCCGAGCAAAATCTACCATTGTGCTGATTGTCACCTTTCATCAGTTTATGCAATTCGATTTATTGTTTAGACTGAGAGGAAAATTTTCACAGAGCCTTCGGTGATAAAATAATTTGACTGCACGAGGAGCTGATGATAAAAAATAGGTGAGCGAGGCCCCATAGGTATCAACTTAGCTTCATGTTACAACAAAGAGCCACCAATCTGCCGTGATGGCGAGGAAAGGCGTATGTGGATTTTTGTATGAGCCATAACACATGTTCTTGTCTGTCTCGGGGCTCAACCCAGAATGCACTCATTTACCGCTCTCTTCGCTATTATGGCAGTATTTTCGGTTCATTGTAGAAACGGCATAAGTGAAATTAGTTTCTCTGTGAAGATAGGTGTTTTTACTAAAGAGTTAAAAATTGTGGTCTCTTATTTCAAAATTTAATCTAATTTCAGCTCTGTCCATCTCAAAAAGTACATCTCTTTATCGTATGAAAGCTTTGGGATTAATAAGATTGATCTTTTGCTATTTTCAGCCTCACAAAATTTGCAAATATTGGGATTGAAGATAAGCAATTTTGAATGGGATGTTTCTTATTGTTACTGGATGCTCCTGTTAGGAGTAGCTCTATGTCCTGCCATGTGGCTTGGCAGTCCAAAGGATATGAAGTGAGTTATAATACTGATTTTTACTCGCATTCATTTCTCCATTCCTAAAGTCATATCTCTGCGTCACACTGCTGTCACTTCTTATGATACCACATTAAAGGAGAATTTGTATTTTTTTCAAGTGCTCGGTGCAGTTTTACGTTTTTGAATCTCAGAATCATGTATCGAAAGTATTTCAGAAGTCTATACCGTCTTCCGAGAGTATTTTTAACATAGTTTGTCATAACAAAGTTAGAGCGCGCGTACTGAGGGATAAATAAGCCACGTATTGAATTCAACATAATTTTGTTACTGTATCATGTCTGTTATTATGATACTTTACGAGTGTTTTTCAATAATTTTCGTCGGTATGATCAGATTGCGTCGTTGCAAATCTCCGCTTATGTTTTCTTTTTTCCATGGGAAATCCACCAATTTTTTCAATGGCTTTTTCATATTTGCTCCTTCGTTAACTTTTAGATGCTCAAGCCGCGTCAAATTGGCGTAAAAAAACACGTCTTCTGTAGATTGTAAGGGGTCACTACATACGAGCTTTCGATAAAGATCTACAAATTAATTTTAAAAAAGAATCAGATGCCAGATAAAAAAATAAAATTTCGTGTCAACACAACCGTAGAGCGACGTAGAGAGATTGGAGCGACGCATTCAGGCCTTATTTTTCCCCCGAATATCCACGTTGGCAGCATAGAGCGGGACATTGCAAGTTCACGCCTCGCGCCAGAGCGCCTTCAATTTCGCGGATGCAACACGGACATCCATCAAGTACGAATAGTTGTATCCCTGCGCCGTCATCAATACGCATCTTTTCCCTTGTTGTCCTGTTCCATGTTGAGTTGGGTCTGTTTGTCTTATTGGCAGTAATGCTTCAAAGGCAACGAGATCAACGCAGCCGAAGAAAAGAGAGAAGTAATCGAACCTCGTTTTTGAACTTTCCTCCCAAATCCGAGCGATACCTCATTGGCAAGATAGAGTGGAGCATCGCGAGTTCACGGCTCCCGCTATCGCGCGAAAATTGTGAACCTACGATTCAATTGACAGTAGACTGTATTTTTCAAGTTAAATTTGTTGTCTTTTCACAAACCTAGGTGGTTAGCTGCGTCATCAGTCTGTATTGTGGTGACTGTGGGTGCTCTAACCTGGTATTTGCTATTGCATGAACCGTTGCCCCCAGGTGCTGTGCCTCCCGATCTACCAGAAGTCTCATGGCAGTCTCTAGCTATAGCATATGGGATTCTCGCCTTCCAGGTCAGCTGGTCCCTCTCAAACGCTTTAAAATTACTTTTAGACACAGGAAGTGACCTAATTTAGCCACAACCAAGACTATTATATTTTTAGGGGAACCAAGTTTCAAATCAATCGTCAGACTTTTATACGAAATAATAATCGGAACATTAGAGGACAAGAGCTCAAATACTTTGGTTGAAAAATCAAGCTTAATTTTCCGAATCCCGCCCAAAATCAGTTTAATTGTCATTTAAAATCAAAATAATTTGAAAGTATCCAATATAATCCTCCCGAAATTTATTCGCATTTTAATGCATAAATTAAATAAGTAATTGTTGATACTTCTGTCAACTTTCCAGGAACATTGGGCCGCTCATTAAAATTTTGCCTCTTTCGTACTTATTGGACTAATATCTACATTAGTAGGGCTGGTCTATTGTTTTCCTCACTCTTTCAAACTGATTGTGAGTATTATTTAGCAGCTATTACAGAGTCAACGAGATGCAACCATTGAGGAGCAAAAATTTTACAAACCTTTTAGTATTTTGCTATTTTCTGGACGATATGTGCCCCTTCACTAAATCTATGAGAAATGACCTCACGCTTTGTTAGAACTCCATACGGCACAGTTTCTGTCCCTAATATTTTGGATTTTCTTTTCAGTTTGATATCCATCCAATGATATTGACAGTGCAAGTAGATATGGAAAAGAAAAATAAACTAGGGCATGCAATTTTAGCCGGATTTCTAGGTAAGATTTTTATTGACAAATTCTTTGTGTGATAATTTAATTGTGAGAAATGGTGCCTTGTTTTTGAAAATTACCTCTTTTCCTTCAACTAAAACAAAAGTTTCAAACAGCTTTAACTCTCCGTAAGAATTTTGAAAAACAAGGAACCTTTATAAGAACATCAATATCCTTAACTTGTAGGGCGTCTCAAATAATTTGCAAAGAGTAACTCACACGATCTGAAAATCGCGAAAGAATTCTTATTATCTTTCCAATCGGCGAGGAAACTGCAATATGACCTAAACGCTCTCCTCCTCGCTCGACAATCGTGGCGTCATAAACACTGTTACCGAACAGCTATCTTCCTTTATATCACCCGCGTGATTCTGCCGAAAATGTTGCGAAACTTCGTCCTGTTGGTGTTGGGTAAGCTGGGAAATGTTTGCTATTTTGAATGAATCGGCATCATTGCTCAAGCAATAAACAGTGTTCTATATCGTGTCGGTGTAACACTAAGTTCTCTCCGCTTTTCCCACTCCGAGAAAAATAGGAGGCGTCTGAGCTACTGGCTGCTTTGTATGAGGAGAGCTACAAATTTGATTTCAATTACCTGCTGTTGTCGCATCATCGATTAAATCGATAAAAAGGAAATTCAGATCAGAGCCATATCTGCTCTTACGAGGAAGCTTACTTTATTTTTGGAACACAAAAAAGGAAAAAGTAATCCCTGGGTTTGAACTTTTGAAGTTCAACATTACTTACGAAATGAATCCTCTGTTACAGTCAAAACTCAGGAGTTGCGAGAACTCAAAAATGTTACTTTATACGTACATATTTTGAATGTTGTACTTATATTACCTCCAAACCCAACGTGAGCTACCAAAAATGTAAAATGTTTTGCCCTTCCCTCCCACCAAACGAAAAGGGTGTTGATGGAAACTATTGGAGTTATTCGTTTTCGCGGTGCAACTTTAATTTGTTTTTAAGTCTGGATTCACACAGTTAGGAACAAATTCAAATTAAAAATCCTAATATCAAAAACAAAAAAACCAAAAAAAATTGACAGCTTATAAAATTATAGGTATGGGTCAGATCATACAATTTTACTGTTCATAGAATTATACATACCTACCTCATGCCACCTCCTTATATTTTTGGAACTTCAGATGAAAACAGTTGGTATCCAGGTGCATGAATCGTGTTCTATCTTACGGTTGATCTTTACTCCTGATCAATAAGTTTATTTCTGGTTTTATTCTGAGTGAATGCTTTTGTTTTCATGTTGCACAATTTGGCATGCCGGCGGCCGTGATCTTGTATTATTATCTGGACCATTCGCTAGATATACAATCGGATACTGTTTCCTTTTCTTCCTCCGTGTTTCCAACAGATTGCCCCGTCATGATGTCGGCGTCGATTTGCAACTGAGGCCATAAATCCAGAGTACTCTCCGTCTTTTTAACGGACTCGCTCGTTTGCTTGTGGAAGCCGATCGACCTGTCGGCGAGGTTCACGAAAGGTCGAATTCATGGACACTTCTAGATCTTCTCTCTAAAAGGCACCAAGAAGTCCAAATTCCCATACAGTGAGCGAGGAGCTCTAGTACTCTTCCCCGCAAGAGAAGATCACAGTTAGAGTGAAGAGTAGGCCCTCTGGGAAAATCGACTTAAACTTTTACTCGAGGCGTCCTATATTGAACCGGTCAAATTTCTATTCTGGTTTTTCACACGTTTAAATATTTAACTTTAGAATTTTCGCATAGTCTTCAACCCCCGAACATGTAAAGTGCTCGACTTCAGACGTCACCTTTTGGCCAAACTTACTAACGTATAACAGCTACAAAGCTGGCGGATAATGTTCGTGGTCAATTCGCCCCCCTATCCCCCATAAAAAAGGAAAAAGAAGAATACACGTTATGAATATCAAACAATATCCACTTGATTCCTCAGAATGTGCTTGTTTAGATATTCATTAGTTTTCTTAGGCTAGTAATCACAATTAAGGTGAAAAACGCTTGGTGTCATGGAGCGTGGTTTGCCTTCAATTGATGGGGTAGGCAAAATTTAGTCCCTCGCGTTGGATTAGTTGCATTTTGAGTTCATGATTTACGCTATTTTAAGAGATTTTAAATGAGAGTTCAATTCAACGTGCCCTAACATTGATAGCTCTAACATTATTTAGTGTTTAGTGTCATCTATCGTTTTTGTTTGCTTTCTAGTGAGTGGTGGTCTCTCAATCGTGACATGCATCATCATCTACTTGCGGTTCGGAACCAGCATCAATTACAATATCTTGCCGGGGCTTCAGCCGCACATCTTGCTCTACGTTGATGCTTTTCTGGTAACCCTTCAAATTTGCTTATCAATGGTCGTTGGAGGCACAGCGCTTTTTCAAGACGTTGAGGACAAACTTGGGGTTCCGAGAGGTGAGGAGAAATGAGACCAAAGTATTAATCTTTATCTCTGAATTTCCGACAAAAAAGAGGAAAATAAATAAAATAATCTTAATTTTTTTATTACTTCATTGCTAATTGTGACCGCTGCTTTGATTGGCTGTATCACTGAAATTTCCACTGTATGTTGATGAAGACTTGGTTGTTAGTTCATTATCAATTTTTTGCGAGATAATACAATCACCGGAGGGCAGCAGACCAATTTTGTATTTTCTGTAGTGTAATCATATCAATTTTGTCCCATAAAAGTACCTAGTTAAAGAGGAGACATAGGAGGATGAAAGGAAAAAATTGATTTTTTAATGTTTAAAAAGATGATGTGTTGAATGTTTCAAAACATATTATGAAGTTTTAACCGATTCATAACCCTAAATGAAAATTGAAATCCCATGTCTTTCAGCTGTAAAACAAATGAAATGGCTGCAGCTTTATTATTCGCGGCCGCGGCTCGGCAGCAGTGTCGCAAAAGACTGAGGCACCCAACCCGTATTGTTCCAATCTCAGCTACCTATTTTTCAGTGTTGGTATCTATCAGTGATGAAATGTAAACCTTAATTTCTTGCACTTGAAATTATTTTAGCAGGGTTACTCCCTTGCCCATGCAGTCGTGTTTACTTTAAAACACTGGAAAAAAACACATTGGATCTAGAGTCCAGACTCTTGAAAACATTGACAAGAAAAAATACTCCTGATTCAATCGGATTTTTGCTTGAATCAAAACGAAATCCGCTTAAATTAAGCGGCTTGGTTCTTGATATAAGCTAGATTCTGATTGAATCAAGAGTACTTTTTCTTGTCGATGTTTTTAAGAGTCTGGACTCTAGATCCAATGTGTTTTTTCTCCCGCGGTGAACGACGTTCTACTGCCTCAGTTTTTCGTCTGTCCCTTTTTCATCTTGCATTTTGATAAAAGCTTGCGTTTTTATGGAATTTTTCCACAGATTTCAATTGGAAACGATGTGTGGTACGAAGTAGTATCCTGATGACGGCCGTATTAATCGGTGAGGCGGTGCCGCGGTTTGACCTGGTCATGGGGCTCCTCGGCGGTGCCCTCACCGGGCCTCTTATGTTCATCCTACCTCCGATCATACACTACAGACTTCGCTCCATTCTTTGGCGCAAACAACTTATTGCCCGGATTGATAGGTAAGAACAACCATGCATTAGCCGTGGACCTACAACCTATTCACAAACATCCAAATACTAACAGCTTGCCATACGACATAAAGCAATGTCGAATATAAGTGAAATGAACTTTGAAAGGGAATTGCTGTTGAATTCGAGTGCTATACAACAAATTTAGAAAAAATAAATTTGAGTGAGATTATAGGACCACATGATTTTAACGGTTGAAAATAAGGATAAAACGGGAGGAATAAGTTATTTTTAAGCCAAAAATGTATCATACCTCAAGCGTTTCGAATAAATGTGATGAAAACTGAAAGTAGCGAAATGAGCTGTCTTGACCGCAGTCAATTAATTTTTGAGGAAAAAATCAAAACCAATGAGGGGGGGGGGGCAGGTTCTTTGTTTAAAGATTTTATAAAGCTTAAAAGTTATAATGGATCAAGAAAACAAGACCAGTTTCTCGTAATAAAACTAAACTGCCAGCCCTGTTTTCATCCAGGTACTTTATCTACAGGGTTTATGATGCTAATTTACTCATCCTCATTTTTGTAAAAGCTTTCACTGTGATACTAACTAATAGAAAAACTCCAAAAAATAATGAGCCTCTTACACGCGTCAGATATTTGCGATTCAAGTGCAGATTTGTAAGTAAATTTCCGCGGGAACCACAATGGTGCGACCGGTGTTCTTTGAAACAACCTCCAAGCTCAAAAAAAGCTCTCCAAGTTGAGGACATAATGAAGGGAATAATCCTTACCCCTTGCTGAGAGTCCACCTCGATCCATATCCATCAGTCGACCTTTCTAAATAGGGATCAAGTCCATTCTATCAGTGCTGCCACTTAATTCTCCGGGGACGCCTGACTGGAAGCCGGCAACCCTGCCAATGTATTTGATCCCTATTTGAATCAGTGAGAACGAAAACACACTCCAACTCGAAAAAATGAAAATAATCAAGACAGACGCAAAACTACGCAGTAGTTAAAAAAGTTAGCACAAGATAAAGATTTTTGGCACCGAAAGACAAGTACTTAAGGACACTTTAAAGGTTCAAGTTGGAGCAGATGCGTTAACTTCAATGTCCTTTTTGAAAACTGACGCTCATGCATGAAAATTGAGCATTTTTGAGTTACCGAGTTGGTGTGTTTTCGTTCTCACTAATTCATTTGTGCATGCAGTTTTTGACTTGATGTGGACTCTCAGCATAGTGTGGAGAATTCCTGCCATTACGACGTCAACTTTGAGAGCTTTTCTGAGCTTCGATGTTCGTTCCACAGAAAACCAGTGGCACCAGCGTGTTTCTCGCAAAAATTCACCGAAGTAAAAGTACTTAAATCGCAAACCCCCGGCGCAAGCAAGAGCTCCATTCTTATTCGTATTCTGGCTGATCGCCATTACGAAATGAAAAAGTTTGACTGAAGTTCATTGATGCAGGTACGAAGCTGACGGCGCTCGTCTCCGCGAAGAGCTCCTCCGGAAAACAACGCTGCCTCCTCAACAACTGAGCTACGCGCCTAACGCTTTCGGGTTGGTGACAAACGACATGTCAACGGGCAAGGAGCCGATACCCACAGGCCCGGCTTCAGGGAGCTTCAGCTCGGAGACCTCCAGCAGCCTGGGGTCCCTGCCGCAGCCCTACTTGCCCCCCTCGGAGCTGCTCGACCCCCCACTGGCGCCTCGGTCCCTGGTGCAACACCTCGTGGGACTCGTATCCACGGAAGTCGACGAGTCGGTGTCCCAACTGGGATGCTGCGAGCTGGCTATGACGTTCGTGATCGTGGGTGCTGGGATAACGGCTACGGTCGTTGCCACGTACTACGCCCTCGTCGGGAACATCGCGTATGCCACGTTCTCGCCGCCGTGTATCGTCAGTGTGAACGAGGCTTCTAGGGCCATTTTCGACGAGCTCGTGACGTAGTGGAAATTGACGGCTTCTGATGGAATGCCGCCTGATTGTTGAGATTTATGGAAAACAAATTAATCAGCCAAAATTCGTATCCTAAAATAACAAGTTAATTTGGGGGAAAAGGCTGCAAAAAAAAAAGAAGAAAAAAATAACCCAAAAGATAAACAAAAAACTTGGAACGTTTCAGAGTATTAACACTTCCATTTTCAACCGGAAAATAAAAATAAAAATGAGCCGTCGATTCGCTGTTTTTGCGAAACCGATAACATGGAATATTTTGGAACGTTCCGGGTTTTTTTTTATCCTTTGTTGTTGTTGTTGTTGTTGTTGTTTTTTTTTTTTTCCCATACCTTTTCCCCAATTAAGTTATTATTTTAGTTAACATTTATGTTGGCACGACTAAGAATCGAAAATCGATGCATTACATGGCGCAGATAGGGTTATGTCTTGTACTATCTTGCCGACATAGTCAGTTGAAGTTTCAACAATCAGGCTACAGGGGTCGTTTGTCCATCCAGTGATTCAAAAAGGAGTTTACCACTTCCTGCAGATTTTACTGAAAAAAAACTAGGGTTTTAAATTGTTTTCTCGTGTAAGGTAGCTTCGAAAAATAAAAACAATGTGAGGCTAGAGAAAAAAAAAAGGAGACAGAATATAGCAGCTTTTTTTGGGGTGGGGAAGGGGGTGTTTTTGGATTCGCCATTTTCGGGCAGGTTTAAAAACTAGCTCTATTATAATCGAGAAGGCCTTTAAACGAGTCTCATTGTTTCAGATTTTTCAAAATTATGAGAGCTTCAGTCAAATGTAAAATGTTATAGAAAACTACTATTTTTTTCTAGTGCTTTGCTTATCTTTAACCATATTGCCGCGTTGAAACGACAATCATGAAATGACATTCATGTACTATCATGGTTTTAGATAATTTCATTTTTTACGAACTTTTCAATTTTATTGCGTGCATTCACTAATTAACTGTCCCATTTGCCACTGCCGGTTGCAAATGAAATAAGAGTTTTCTTATCATTTTAGAATGACGCATCTATGGATTAATATGACAGAACAATTTCATTTTCTGATTCGAATTTCCTACTTAAAACTGTTTGCGTTAAGTCTTCTTTTGTTCTTTTTTACTTTTGTACCGTCGTTTTCTATTTGTTTTCTTTTGTCAGAATGGTAATTTATTCGATTTATCATGTACCAATATTTGTATCTAAATAAAAGAAATAACAGTCTGTCAAAATGCTCAGATTTTTGAGTCATCATGGGTGGCGGTAGCCACCTCCGGACAAAGTCTAAACTCGACAACACTGGAAAGCCTCCAAACGAAAAAGGTGGCAGCCAACCATAGACACACGTAACTCCCTTATTCTGAAAATTGATTCGACTCGAACTCGACTGCAGCCCAAACGACGGCACGGATTCCATTGATCTTGGTGTCTACTGACGCACCTAAATTGGGCCTACTAAGTGGGAAAGTTTCATCCAGATCCATTGAGNGTTATAGAAAACTACTATTTTTTTCTAGTGCTTTGCTTATCTTTAACCATATTGCCGCGTTGAAACGACAATCATGAAATGACATTCATGTACTATCATGGTTTTAGATAATTTCATTCGTTACGAACTTTTCAATTTTATTGCGTGCATTCACTAATTAACTATCCCATTTGCCACTGCCGGTTGCAAATGAAATAAGAGTTTTCTTATCATTTTAGAATGACGCATCTATGGATTAATATGACAGAGCAATTTCATTTTCTGATTCGAATTTCCTACTTAAAACTGTTTGCGTTAAGTCTTCTTTTTTTCTTTTTTACTTTTGTACCGTCGTTTTCTATTTGTTTTCTTTTGTCAGAATGGTAATTTATTCGATTTATCATGTACCAATTTTTGTATCTAAATAAAAGAAATAACAGTCTGTCAAAATGCTCAGATTTTTGAGTCATCTAAATCACATTGCGATTAATTCGCCATTTAATCAAGTTACACTTTACATCTAAGGTATGGTGCTTTCAAATGTTTGACAGGTTTCTAGACAAATTGGATGAGGTTTCATGGGAGATAGGCCGCGATTCTGAAACCGTTAACTTTAGAATTTATTTTAATGTTTTGATTTTCAAATTATATATTTAAGTATGCGGAAAGTGCATAGTGCATGGGCAGAGACAACAAATGCGTTTAAAACTGAGGGAAACATTTCAAATGGAGAGCGTATTCACGCGAAAATCCCATCAAAGCGTCCACTTCTTCTAAGGTGAGTGAGGGGGGGGGGGCGATTGGTACCTTGAAAGAATTTTCAGGAAGGGGCGGTTGGACTTGCATTATGGATGCTTGAACAAAAACAGCAACAGGAACAGTGCGTTACAGTAACGTCCTAGCTCCGTAATAATGTGTTACGCAACTATTTGAAGATTACAAAGTAACTCGCTCGGTGACATGTGTGAGTGAGCTAGGCATGAATGCATTTATGTGCGGCACATCGTACTTTCACCGGCTTGTGTGCATCAGAGCGGTAAAGATGTTGGTCGTATTTTTCAGTCTGCCTATCAGCCGAAATAGCTCAGTTGGGAGAGCGTTAGACTGAAGATCTAAATGTCCCTGGTTCGATCCCGGGTTTCGGCAAATACTTTTAATTCCGCTAACAGTAAACGATTTCCACTATAACTGACTAGTGATCCACAAGAGGTGATCCTCCCTCACTAATGCGGGGCCACAATTGTATCCAATGCACAGTATAATTTTGTCATTTGTGGATGCTTTAATTTTGAAACTAATTTTACATATTTGAGAATTTTGACTCAAACACGGGAAGGAGTCGACAAAATCATATTAAATTCAAGCGAGTTCATACGTAAAATTAATGTTTCTGCTATTTGTTGCTATACATGTAATTCTGATCCGTCGTAAGTCTACCCATCAGAAGAAATGCTCTTGAAGCATTGATACTGAATGAGAGATTGAATGTGAGTTTGATCATCCCTTCAAAGGAGAGGTTGAATGAGCAGTATATGCATACATTCCCAAAACCTCCTTACACCCCAACCTCACAGCAATTTTCCATTGAAAGTACGATGCCTACGGCTGTGCGGCTGTCATCCTTCCCTCTTTTTTCGAAAAATTTCGTTGATTTCAAAATGTTAATATTGTGACATGAAAATTAAAAACCCAACATTTGTCTTCTAAGAGTACCTAATCTCCGAAACGTTCTCGGCTCGACAGAATCCCTTCAGACCCCCTTTCATCGTTTTTTTTTAAACTTTTGCCCCCTCCTCATGGTTTCAGCCAACTTGCCGCTACTTATGAGCAGAGGAAATTATCGAGGCTTGTAATGTGCATTTATCCTCATTCGGTTACTTACGAGAATAGTGAACATGCTACTCAATGAATATGACCTACGAATGCCGAACTGCTGGTTGTTTGCAGCCTTGCATACATGCCGAAATAGCTCAGTTGGGAGAGCGTTAGACTGAAGATCTAAATGTCCCTGGTTCGATCCCGGGTTTCGGCAGAACATTTTAGCCAAGTACCACAATATTTTATGGTCTCGAGGTGTATCGAGACGACCAGAGAGAAAAAATCAACGGAAAACTGCATTCACCCTTCTCCCTCATATGATTATTTCGTGTAACTCTCGCTTCATTTCTGCAGATCATCTAGAAAAAATTCCATGCCAGAATCCTTTTTTTCCATATTTAAATCATTATAGCTCATAATTAAAGCAAGTTGCGGTATCTTTCGTCTATTTGTTATCAATCTAATTAAAGCTCGCCCGGGTCTCCTGAAATTTGCAATCATTGATGCCAGATCACCTAAATAATTGTGAATTATACAATTACTAACGATGGGGGTGTGCCAATTTTGATTACTAATTTGTCAAATATTGAAGCCATATGATGCAAGAGAATGAATATTTTCTCTATTAATATCCAAGGAGATTGAAATGATTCTTTGAACAATGTGGCACCAGGGTCAGTTTGATCGATTCGCGATGTTTTGATGCGGAATCGATGAATCAGATCAGACGGAAAACTTGGGTGTTAATTTGGTGGCGAGAGTAGGGTGTCATTAAGATAGTCTCAATCGACCTATATAACTCGCTAAAGCTGGTTATCGCATGCTAGTCAAATTGTGACCGGGTTATCATGGCCGGACCAGTGCGATTTTGGGTAAGTATTACACTGACCTCAAGTTTAATTTACATTTTTTTTTATGATGGGTTCAAATTGAGGAGGAGCTCAGACTTACACGACGTACGCAATCAATGTATAAGTGTAGAGATGATAAATGGACAAAGTTTAAAACAAAGCACCATTTAATCCAATATCAAAACGGAACCGAGAGCTTGGGCATTTAGGTCTATGGAAAAGTACTTGTTGGGGTGAGGGAATCAATGACAGATATGTTTTTTTTTTTTTTT